CACAAATTAGTTAGCATAAATCAGTTAAATGACGAAAAATTAGGTGTCTATTTACTTGTGACTACTCAGTGTACAGAAAAGGTGAAATTACTATTATTACGTGAAGAAAATCTTCTTATAGGTAAAGCAGGAAACCTAATGACAAAAATTTAATCAGTTTAAAACATAGTAAATAAAATATACAAATATATCTTTTTTAAAACACAAGATTACCATTTATCATAAACCAGTAAGGAACAAAGATTGTTTGTTTGTTTTTTTATTTCGCGCAAAGCTACACGAGGGCTATCTGCGCTAGCCGTCCCTAATTTAGCAGTGTAAGACTAGAGGGAAGGCACCTAGTCATCACCACCCACCGCCAATTATTGGGCTTCTCTTTTATCAACGAATAGTGGGATTGACCGTCACTTTATAACGCCCCCACGGCTGAAAGGGCGAGCATGTTTGGTGGGACGGTGATTCGAACCCGCAATCCTCGGATTGCGAGTCGAGCGCCCTAACCACCTGGCCATGCCAGGCCAAGATTAGAGAAAAGAAAAACAGTTTGCAGTATATTATGTTATAGTGATATGAAAAATAAATAAATGATATAAATCATTTGTCTTTCTAACCCTAGAATTATTGATGGGGTCGGGATCTCGTCAGGTTTTAAAACGCATTTTTTAAAGCAGTTATGCGTTAATTTGCTTGTGGGTCCTTGATTTTGTTGATTTCCGGGCTTCTAGTAGCATATGAGTCACACACACATTACAAAAATAACATAAATACCATCAATATTGCAATTAATACCATTAATTATTTTGTAAATAAAACGAGCGATTTCATCCAATTTTTACATTAAGTGTTGTAACACTAATAAACAAAACTAAAATTACTTAACATGATGCATTATAAGGATTCTACTGATACCAAACATTAAAAACAAAAACTCGGTAATTTTAGGGTTATATTTTCAGACGAAATAGTAATTTTAATAGAGTGAATATGGCAAGGTTTTAGAATAGTGATATTAGAAAAGATAGTTAAATAGAGTATATTTATTATGACGCAAAATAAATATTAATGATTGCTTTTTCTTGCCAGGTATAATGCCCAGTTTACAAAACGTTTCAAGAAACACTTCTTCGAAATTTGAGCATGATTAATTCATTTTGGCATATAAGACCCATTTTTGCCAGGATCGTACTCCAATCTCCAAAACGTTCCGAGAAACGCTTCTTCAAAGTTGGAGCTAGTTTAACTCATTTTGAAATACATAAAACCCATTTTAGCCAAAGTCTTACTCTAACATCCAAGACAATACTGAAGTGATTCTTCAGTATTTAAAGTTGAACCATTTTAGAATATATATATGTACGTAAACGCTTAAATGTAGCTTAGTATTGTTTCGTAAATCTCAATTTTCTAGAAAGCCTCCACACACTTATAAATATAACCAACGCGACGCGTCAAAAAGAGTATCTATGATTAGTTTGCTATAGTCAGTGTGCTATAAACTTCGGAAGCTATAAGTGTGATTGTTATAACGCTCATCAATCGGAAAACTTCAGATATTTGACCAGGAGCATTTACAAAGTTCCAACACTACAAATCATTCAATTTCAGTGGACTCTCATCGGACATTAGTATTTTTTACGAAAACATTACATAACGTCACGGTGGAAAACCCAGCGTGTGTGGCTGGTAAATAACGAAGGACAAAGCTAGCTAGCTACCCGTGAAGTGAATTATACCTACGTCAACTCGTAATCAACTCGTTCATCGTGAACCCTCGATAGGATATTAAAGAAGTTCCAGACTAAAAGGAAGACTTTATATTGCTTGTAAGTTTGTGAAACTTTTGTTGATAAATCATTGTTTGTAATAACTGTTATTGTAAATTGTATTGTTGTGTGCATATTAAAACGTATTTGTGTTAAATAAGAAAATTGTGTGTATGTATCAATCTTGTTGGTAAATATCACAAACTGACTATATATCAGCTCTTACTTAATATATATATTAGTAAATTTGATTTGGTATATCGAATGTAATTGACAGTAATTAAAACAAAAATATTATGCTAGCGTATTTTCAACGTATTGTACTTTAATGTGTATTTTTGTTAAAAACTACAACTAAAGACCAACTTCAATACTACGTAACTTCTCATCTTACCGTCCACATGTAAGGACAGTTAAAAAGATTTTGGGAAGGCTTAGCTTCTTAATTCACACACTTTTGAAAAAGTTTATATTTTCTATTTTTATCGAGGACATATTTTGTATTTCGTTCTAAATCAGAAAGTATGCAATAAAGATTTAGTATAGTAAAATAAGTAATCTAAACGTGGAATAAAGAATTCCGCAAAACCACTGAAAGGATTACTGTATGTAAACAATGTAATAAAGCTGGTTTTGTTCCAAGTTTATTTACAGCACTTGGTGATTAAGTTATAAAGCTAACAAGAGGGAATCCTTAATAGCCGCGGCACTTGAAATTAATTCTTTTAGGCAGGATTTTTTTT